CTGTCTCAAAACATTTCTAAAATCTTGAGACCCTCCTTGAAACCAGACTTTTGTTCTCTGCACAGAGCTAAGTCATGAATGTGGAACAGGATCAGACATGTGAAAAGTTAAGTGGGGTGACTGTTTAATTTTTCACATCCAGTAAATTCATTCTATCACAGTAGAAAACAGAATAAGTATTATAGTGCAAGATCCAATTTTTAATCACTCTCTTGGAAATGATTTAGAGAAGAGGAGCCCTCTCCTTTTTTCTATTAAAAAAAAGCTGAAATACACAGTGCTCCTGGGATCAAAGGTACTTACAGACACAGAAGAACAGTCAGCCATCCTAGCTTGATCCACAGAAATACCTAGCACCATATTAAGCCTGTCCACAACTAGTGAAGTGCTTAAGGAACATGCTTAAAATTGATCATGGGCTTAAATATTTTATTCAGTTGGGGTCATTTGCTGAGTCTGAGTCTCTTGTGGTGTATGCTCTGGATACTGGGTGGCAATGCACGTTATTGCAGGACACGCACTGCTGTGAGCAGTGAAGATGTGAAACCAAGTTTGAGTGTACGCTTTTGTCTCCCCATATTGGTTCCTTGAGACCTCGTTCATTAATGGGTAATGACATTACAGTTTTGATGGGTTTGGTTATTTACACATAGGGACTGTGTAGAGCATTTCAGTACCACATGGAAGTGTGTTTCAGGCCATTAGCAACCAAGATTATTTATCTGTCAAAGAGAAATTAGCTTGTTTGTGCTTACAGTGAAAGAATATGTGGTCAATCATGTTTATATATGGACACTATTTTTTCCCAAACCGAGCAGGATTCAAACAGGAAGCTGTCTCTTTGCTCTCTTTCCATAGTCTGCCCCACCTTGCTCACTAAACTTTTCTGAGGACCATGTTCCTTGATGTTCCCTTGACCATTTGCTTTTGTCTCTCTTCTGGTGTTTTTTACTCCATTTCTTGCACATACCCTATTAGTAAAACAAAATCCGGTGCAGGCTTTCATCCTGCTTCTGAATGTATTTTTCTGAGGTAATGACAGGCAGCTTGTGTTGTGAGTGTTCAACACAAGACCATTATTATATCAGCATTTTGATTGTATAGATGAAGATTAATTGTTCATCTTTACCAAACTTGAAAGTACTTGTAAAAATCCACCAATTTCAAGAAGATATCACTCAGCTCACTCTGCCACTGTACTGCTCAATATCCTGATAGAGATCAAAATAATGACATTCTGAACATGACTCAGTTAAAATAGTGTAAATACGGATGGTAAAGCTGAACTAAACACATATATACATAGCATCTGTGTCAGAGCATTTACACATTATCACCGCAAAACAGCTTTGGTCTCATTCAAATAGCAACAAACAAGTTTCAGAGATTTAGTCACAGTCCATTTGAAAAGTACAACAATGTATCAAATCCGTTTAGGCAGAGAAATATTTTTTTTCTAAAGAGCTGAAGCTGTTGCTTTCACAAGCTATCACCACCCTCAGTATGAGGTTGCTGTAGTTTTAACTATAGCTGATCTTCCATAGGGGATCTCAAAGGGAACATTGTCAGAAGAAAGTGGAGCCAAAGAGTGCAGAAGAAACTTTTGTCTCAGTTAGAAGCAATCCTGCAGCGATTTAAGGTGATGGATTTCGATTTGCACAATGTGACTGTCACATTTAAAAGGTTAATGGAAAGCATACTTTCTGCAAGTCTGCTGGAAAGTTGATTATATCTAGGTGATACATTGGTGCACGTGAAAGCCTTCGAGCAACAACAGATATGTTCACAAATGTTCTGTGATAGCTTTAATGTTGCTGCAGAGGGGGGAAAAAGCCTTGCTTCAGAAGAAGAGTAATTTTATCTAACACATTTAGTTTGTCAGTGAGAGAAAGTAGTTCCACATACCAAAAAGTACAGAAAACTGAGACCCTGCAGAGGATGTTAGCTTCGCAGATATAAAAAAATGTCAGAGATCGCCACACTTGTGGAAGTCTAAACTACTTTTTTTTATATTACTGCACGGGGCTGGGGCTGGTGGGGAGAGTACCAGCTCCCTCACGCATTTCAGTGACAGGATGGCAGAGGGAAGCCATTGTCCAAAACACAGGTTTGTCTAAGATCAGGCTGCAGCTGCACTGTGTGGTGAAAGGGGTTTTGTGAGTACTCTGTGATAGTGAGGAACTTTTATGGTTCTCCAGAGGAAAAAAAATATTTTCTGGGTCACATGCACATGAAATATTATATAAGAGAAACTACTGCTTCCTGGATTTGTTCAAAAAACAGTTTTACAAATATTCTTCTTAAATGAGTGCTACTGATTTAAAAAAATATATACACCTTCACTTTCTCCTCATGGGAGCCCTCCAGGGCTGTGCCTCACTGCTCTTGCACAGCTAGCCGAGGGAGAATTGTTTCACTTTATTCAAAGTATAATAGACCATGCTGTCTGTTTGGGAAGGATAAACACTTCCCATTTTATTGTGGTCTTCCCTCCAGGTCTGGCATGCTGTGGAAAGGTAACAGTAGCTCTGCCAGACCACTCTGAGACGTCTGACATGCAATTGCTTTAGTATTTCTTAAGGTTGAGGAAAGAGCATTTTCAGCTTTTGCTGAAGGAGAGCTCTTTACATTCCCAGAGGACTTGAAAGAGTCAATCCATTTCAACACGGAAGGCAAAGGAAATACTCTCTTTGACTTCAGTGGGGGTTGGGTCTAGGTCCAGACAAGGGCTGATGAATGAGTGGAATCAGCTGCAAGTGTTCTTCGCTGACGTGATTGCCATCTTTTATGTGGAGCTGAAAAGGACCTGCTTTTGTCTTCCTTTCACTACCTTTGGTACACCTGCTTGAGAAAGCTCAAGAATAGGATGTGTTTCATGCAAAATCTTAGATTTTTCTTTCTTTTCAATCACTGCAACAGAGCACTGCTAGCCACTGTCTCTTTCTCTCCTGCATTGCAGGCCTGTGTGCTGCAGATCATTAGTTATCTGCTCATAGTGTACTTTCTGTGCATGTGCGATGTAGCCTGCATGCATGTGTTCTGGCTGGTAAAGAGTCCTAAAAAGATTTCGAGACACATAACCTGTTCCTGTTTTTCACTGAATCCAACTACATTGTTTATTAATCCTTTTTTTATATATATTAACTGATATAACTTATTATATTACTGTTCTGAGGGCGAAGGGGCCTGATCTGTAGTCACTACTCTTTCTCATATCTCTGATATGAAAAAAAATAAAGGGCTGATCAGGGTATTTAAAAATAAAACAAAGAATTCCTGGTATACATTCCTGGTATACATCCTGGTATACATGTACATAACAAAAAAAGAGCTTAATAATGTATATGCTCTACAAAGCATGTTAGCTTAACTATATATATGTTCTAGCTAAATATATCGCTGGCCACAGGGAACATGGAAAGAGCAGCTACTGGGAATTAAGTTCTAGATATCAGTAAGTCTTATCTTAGCCATACAAAATTGGCACTGTTGAGCATAGCACACCAGCATTGTGTTCAGTGGTAAGAGTTGCACTGCTCACCGCATATAGCAAGAAAATACTAGATCACTTCCATAGGCATGTCACATTTGATCTTGTCCCCATCCTTAGGAACATAAGGGCTCTCTTTTTAGGAAACAACTTTCTCTGAAAAGTTGCAAAAAGAAATTGCATGGCCAGAAAGCCATGAGGAAGCTATCCATTGATGCTCTGCTTTCCTTCTATTGCTGAAAACAAAATTAGTGTTTATGAATGGTAGATTTTACAAGACTGGAAATTCGTGGCACAGAAGTATGCACGTGAAGAAAGGCTCACAAAGTTTCCCTACTCTACAGCAGTGGTGTGCCTCCAGGTTGTTTTGGAAGGACAGTCTTCTACAGCAAAGAATAGGCTTTTGGACACAAATCCTTCTGTCTAAGATATCCACCCAGGACCTTATAGATTTCTTGTAATCACGGTTCATTTTAAATTACATTAATTTTCAAATAAGCCACCGAGCACAGGCCAATGTTGAATGTATTTGGCCAGTCTTAGAACTTAATTTGTCAAAAGATTTTTGAATTAAAATTCTCAGTGTTCCTCAAAGATAGATTTTGTTTTGTTTTGTTTTGTTTTAAATAAAACAGTATTTTTTTGTCTTTTGTTAACAGACACTGGTAAGGACCAGAGATTAAACAAAAGAAAATTGCAGGTGACTTTAAAAAAAGAGAAGTAAAGAAGCTGACCTTTTTTCTCACGCAGTTCTAAGTCCCCGTGTACACTGGGTGCTTTCTAATCTGGTCTCTGATGGGAAATGGTTCCATCTCTGTATGCACCATCTCCAGAGAACAATCTCTTTTTGCTTCCTAAACTGCATATCATGCCAAAATCTGAGCAGAGGTGGAGATTATGGATTAGATTCTATCTCTGTTCCATGGCTGTAAACCCTGATCAAGGTACTGTTGCAGCTCAGGTACTCATTTGGACTATGCCCTCAACACAATGTGTTTCTCAGAAATAATTCTGATTTTGAAAAGTGGCTTGAGAGACCAAGTTTGTCTTTAGCTGGAAGATAACCAACGTGAGAGCAAAACTTGCCACCAATCTAAAGCAGGCCAGACTGGGCTCATCAGTTCATTCACATGGGCCTTGCTGCATTTAGAAGACTGTAACTTTTGACAGTTGGGGTAGCAGTTCTGTAAATTTGTTTCCATTGGGAAATGAAATGGGACAATAGAAGTTAATTTAACAAATTCTGGGTTGTCTAACAACCAGCAAAGGGTAGATTTTTAGGTAATCACCAGTTTCAGTTGGTGTGGGAGGTGGGAGGGGTATATGTGTGTGTTCAGCTATTTTATGGCCTTCTGGCAGTCTGCTGAGTTGCATTTGTTGGTCTTCCAGGGCACCGAATTTTTAGATTACTAATAACGTTACTTCTGAAAATGCAGTAGGTGCTGACTTACATTTAATTTTCTTATATGAGATAATTATCTTCTGTTCTTTTTTCTACACTTGTTCCCAGATACTTGCCCATCTTCTGAGTGTCTAAATTGGGCTGTCTCATTCCCCAACGTCTTGGTTACTCATTGGGAAGCAATGGAGTCTTTTCTCTGATTTCCATTTGCATTAGGTAAGGACCCATTTAGAGTGCAATTTTATTCTCTGTATCACTAACACTTTACCTGTTTTCCAAAGGTTATCAGAAGTTTCATGACTATCTTAAAACAGTGCAACCGCAAACTGCCGTAGTGACTTAGTTTTCAGTTGGATAAGCAAAGTGATTAGACTCCTCTCTGAGTTGCCAGATGACTCCAAGGCTGACACAAGGCAAGCAGTAAGAATACTAGGTACAGCCCTTTTCGGTGTCAGCCCACTGTTAAATCAGCATAAACTGACTGTAAAACCAGTTTAATTATCTGTGAGATGTATTCAAAAAGGGCTCATCTGAAAAAGAATTTCCAGTAGTTTGAAGTTTTCTCCTAGGTTGTTTGTGTTTTTTTCAGGGGAAGATATTTTTGACTGCTTTCTTTTCGTGCTCTTCAGGTTTGGAACACGTTGTGAGATTTCACATGTGTAGCTGACCAGGCACACGTGATTTTCAGCCCATTGTGATGGCGTTTGAGATTCATG